TGCCTCCTTCTGGGCTTAACTTTTATTTCTCTGTGTCGTTCCTCCGTAACTCCTGTGTTTATATTCCCATTATGTATATGATGGAATGGTGCGACTAACTTTTTCACTTCCGTGCCCTTCTCCGAGTTAGAAAGCTGCAACAGTCACCTCTGCACAGGCGATCAGGCGGGAAAACATCAACACAGGCTTGGCATATTAGTAATGAGTGATCCACTACAGCAACTTTGCTGGCTTTTGAACGCAGCAGCGGCAGCAGAACACTGAGTTCACCTGCCATTGTTGTTGTGCGTTCTCTTTTGACACGTACTAACTACTCCAGGCTTCTTGCTTGATACACGTGACTGCTTCTTAGCCTGTTTTCCGAACTGTTTTGCAAATGATCTCTGAACTTCCTGTAGAGTTTACTGTTTACAACTAGGAAAACAGTAGAGCAGAGCCTGGATCAGGTGCACCGATATGTGGTGATATGAACTTGTCTGCCAGTTGTCTGTCGTACAGCCCCTTCATATTTATCTAAGAGGATGAATCATTAACGCATCGTCTAAAATTAAATATTACAAGACTTCCAGGTCGTCATGTTGATTCAGATAAAGTGAGTCATAGTTAAAAGTTTCTCTCTTCCGTAGGTCCATAATGTTAGTCGGCTACTCAGAATCTAATTATGATATATATCTATTAATTGATTTGTTTTTTTAGGCCATTGTTGTATTAGTCTCATACAATGCTCTGTCTGTAAAACAACAGTTCAAGAAGTAAATATTATTTTAGATCAATCATTATAATCGAGTGCTGTTAATTTCCTGTACTTTTATTATTTCATTCTACATATACTTTATATATATTACATAAAACTATTATATAACTAATGGAGGAAAATTTGACGTATGATTCATAATGAAACTCTAACATAAGTGATAGCTTTATGCTTGATTCGCTTTGTATATCTGTTCAATAGGTGCTTAGCTTTCCATTGATCTCCAAAGTGCAATATGTCATTTTAAGACGCCTATTATTCAGATCAATAATAATGACTAAAGACTTTAAAAGTGTCACAGTCTGATGGTGTGCAGTGGACCTGAAGCACTGCAGGTGAGGCCAAGCCTTGGTCTTCTAACCATCTCTTTCACTTGACACTTTTCTTGATTCGCCTTCGACGGGAAGACAAAGAAAATCTCCCTCCGAGGGTTAAACTGAAACAGAGAGAAACTAGTTTCCTTTGCAGGAACTTCAATAAGCACACAATTCTTTGTTCTTATAATATGTATATATATGTAGTCTCTTCACATGACCGACAGTAGCACACAGTCCAGCACAATTACAGAGATCTCAATGGGAGGCACCTGAATGAGTCATACAAGATGTCCTCTAAAACCGGTTTATATTTGACATTTTCTACTTTTTTTCTTTTAATTTTCCTACGGTCCCTGAGACACCCTTTGGTGTTGTCTGTTTGCATTCACCCCTGTGGACAAACCTGCAGCTTCATCAAGGGTGCATTTGAAAGGACAGTGTGTCATGAGGGACCAAACGGAACGATGTCGCATTGTTTTGGAGGCTGGATGAGTCACAGAAGACGAATCTGGGTTGGTGGCATTTGAGAGGGATCGTTAGGGCAGCACTGCTGAACGAACAATGGGGTTGAAACGTCGCCCCATGATTCCCTGTTTAGCAGCTCGTATATATATATATATATATATGCATAATCCTACCCCTAAAGCCCCTATAGACTGGAGCTGATGGATGTTTGTGATGTTTTGTCCAAACCCACCTGTCTCTACTCTGTCAACCTTCCCTGAGAAAATGTTGAATTTAAGTATGTGGAAGCTTATTTTTAGTACTTGGTACACAATGTGAGTGCCGCATCGCTGTGACTATTTCAAGTAATTTTTATATGAGTCACCAAAGAAATTGAAAAGCATGAGCAACATCAAAAGAACAGGCTGCAAATGTTCTTCTGCTTCAGTCATGGCTGAATTACTTTTAATCTCCATCGTTTTTGGTGAGACGTGTCCACTCTTCAATTATTGGTCCCTTTGACAAAAGTCAAAAAATTGTAATGAAGGCCTTGACTTTGTGTCGATTCAAACAGAGGAGGTGATCAGACATTTGCCCCCTTGCTCTCTCTCTCCCTCTCTCTCCCTCTTTCATCCACACACACAAAAACACACATATCCACCACACAAACATTACATTCATTCAGGTTTTTCAGAATAATCCTTCTCAGTAGGATTCCGCTTTTTCTTGATGGCCGCCTGTGATATGGTTTTTGTTTTATTTTTGTTATTCCAGATAACAAGAGCCAAATTACACAAAACTGCTCTAATGCAGCAGGAAAAGTCAAAAATGCATTCAGCCTGTGTGTCGACTGTACTGCAAGTTTTACTCTGTACATTCATCTGACATGTAAATACACAGAGTCTGTGCTCTCCATTTTCCTCGTTCACCCCCTTCTCCATGTTTCCACCTCTGTCTTCCTTTGTGTCTGGCCCTGACCATCGTCACACACACTGCCAATGTGAGATAGCCACGTCTGTGTGTCTAGTGCAGTGTGTCATGTGTGATAATGTCTGACGTGTGCGTCACGTGCCAGCGGTTTTTAGGGTTCCACTAGATGCTGCTCGTTGTTGTAATCATCTTTAGACATCATCATTATCAGCTGGAGCAGATGCGACGGGTCCCTCTGCGTCATTGTTCCCGCTAAATTCCCTAAAGCTGTCGGCGAGAATGCTCCCCACAACGTAACCAGAAAAGGCGGAGAAATAATACGTCAAAAAATCCACTCCTCGCACACTTTTAGCCCTCCCCCATCCATCCTCTCATCCTTTTTTTTTGCCTCTCTATCAAATGTTCACTTCTTTTGTCTTAACCACTCTTTCTTGTTCCACTGCAGTCTATCTTTTTCTGTGACATGCTCGCCCTCTTCGCTCTCTCTGGTCACCATTATCTTTACCGCCCATCTCTTCATCTTTTTTTTCCTTCTCCGAGTCAAGAGAAAATTCACAACCTTCACAAACACACACTACCAAACACACTGTGAAATTCTCTCCCCCCTCCCAAAACCTTTGGTACACACACTCAGCCACCCCCCCAACCCCACCGTCATAACCACTTTCTACTCTCTTCCAAACCCTTACCCCACCCTAATCCTAATCACAGTACAACCGTCATCAGTTCTTATCTCTCATCACCAAATCTGCTCTGCCTGAAAACACAATTTTCTCTCATTTGCGATTCAACTGCCCGGCTCCCGCCTCCAACACCTGCATCAAACCTACTACCCCCTCTGATAAACCCTCTCCACTTCATGTATACCCCCATCGGTGCCCGTCTCGCTAAAAACCCCACCCAAACACCCCAGCACGCTGACATGAACGCATATACAAATGAACTCACGTATACACACTCTAAGCGGTCGCCATTAAGAATGACGGCTCATCATGTGTAAGCGGTGACTTGCCACTGTCATCCAGTGGAGCCCGAGAAGAACTGCAGTGTGACGTCACGGCGGACGCCAGCCATTCTGATTGGTGGAAAATATTTACGTGTGTGTGAGAGAGAGATTCTTTGCGTAGCTGGGATGGGGGAGACAGAGGAATACAATTTGGTGGGTGGATGGACCTGGTGGGCCTTGCTGCATCACTGAACCTGCAAAACGAATGAGCGCCTACACTAGGTGTCACCTCCTTCCTCCGCTGCTGGGCTCAGTTAATGTCTCCCATATCTCCCCCTCTGTTCTCCCCCTCTGCCTCTGACCCCTGAGGGAACCAATCCTGGAGGGACTACGAAATTAACTCAGTGTGTTTGACGTGTGACGTGTAACATGAAAAAAAGCAACAACAAAAAAAACCCAGAAAAAAAAGATACAACTCTGTGCATATTTTGTTTTGTGTCTGAGTAAATCGATATATGCCACAAATATTGAGTTTCTATTCCATCAAATAAAAAAAAAAACCACCCCTCAATGGGAGTTTTTTTAGAGGCACAACCAGTGCAATAGCAACTGAGTTGTTACAGGAGGAAAATATCACCAAGTATTTAGACATAATAAAAACAAAGTTCTTCAAGTATAAGAACATTAATCACCCAGAAGAAAATTTGTTTAAACACCAGGCTGCATTTTGTCTTTTCCATTACCACTGTCCTTCAGTCCATCTCCCACCACTTATCCTGCAAAGGTCATCAAGTGGAGCTGGAGCCAACTACTGTACACTTACATCAGACAAACGGCAGGGTCACCCAGGCAGGTCACCAATCTCTGAATGGGCCAAGGAAGAGACAAACGACTTCCATTCATTTGCTGTCTCATCTATAGTAAACTGTTTAATTAACCTAATCCATAATCTGCATGAGGCTCGACTTCAGGCCAAAGCACACTCACTCACAGGAAAATTTAAAGTTAAATGAACTTAGAGAAAGTAAACAAACAATACCATGTAAACATGTGGGTCTGAATAGAAAGAAAAAAAATAACCAAATCAATTTAAACATAAAATAGTTCACACAGATTTTATTTATTTATTTTTAATTTTTCTGTCATTTTTTTTTAAACAAGCGCTACTGGCAGTTAGCTCTAAGCTAACTCGTACTGTTAGCTTCCTCTGGCCTGAATTTGGGAAGGACTTTTCTTTCTTTCTTTCTTTCTTTCTTTCTTTCTTTCTTTCTTTCCTTCCTTCTTTTGCTTTTTATACCAGATGAAACAGAGAGCAGATTTTACCCTTCACGCTCGGAAAACGTTATTACCTTGACCTCTACTGTAGCGACGTCACAAATATAACTTATATCCCTCCGTAGGAAAGAGCAGATATAATGACTGTTGATCACAGATTTTTTTTCTCTTAAAACTAAAAGCTTATACAAGTTCTATCTAAAACATTTTTTTCAAAAAGTTACCGTGCTGCAGAACTGCTGGGAAATAAACAACCACCTGAGTCTTGGCACCGCTGACGGTCGACAGTAGGTCAGGGGTGGAGAGATCTGAATTAAACCAATGATCCACTGCCCATTTTTACAGACAGCCAGTAAGGTAGACAGACAGTCCCATGGTTATTCATTATTTGCCAGGTAATTGGTTATTGATTATTCCCAGTCTTTTTGTCAGTGTCTGACAGGAATCGAACTATAGGAACATTTTTCCAAAGCTGCTCTCAGAATGGAGGATTTATCCCAAGAAAACACGTGTAAGGGAAAAAATCAGATCAAATCAGACAGATCACCTTCTCCAGCTGTGCGTAGCGTTGACTCATGCTGCGGATCTTGGCTGAAACGTGTCAAGCTCTGGATACCAGTGGAATACAAGAATGAAACAGTTCACTTTCTAAAACTTTCAGGACCTGTGGTAAGATTCTGCCTCAATGTAAAGACTGAAAAAAATGTTTAGTTTTCCTCCAACTGTTAATAGTTAATAGTCACGCACTAGCTAGTTTGATTGCAATGTTCGTCTTTTTGGTTTACAATAATAGAGTAGAATAGAATAAACCGTGTTGTCATTGCAAATTTGTAACACAATCTTGTTCAGTAATTCAACAAGAGCTAATAGGAGCAGATACTCCGTGTGTCTATGACATGAAAAAGTGCTAAAAACCTTTATAAAAGTTTATCTATGACATGAAAAAGTGCTAAAAACCTTCAAAGTTTATTTTCTCTTTTTAAATCTTGTGATCACCCAGATTCTTTCAGAACACCTAAAATCTAGTGTTTTAAGAACTAATGATGTTTGACGACATTTACAAATACAAGTAACGACTGTAAAATCGAAACATGTCATCTGCAAGAAAAATCCAAACTTTTTTTTGCCTTTAAGGCCTGTTTTTATTGATTTCTAATTTAATCAGCCTTCATTTATGTTAGTTCCTCAATGGCCTTCCTGTTATTTATTGCCTTGAAGCATGGTTTTGTTTTTTTTAGTTTATTTCACAGTTGATGAGCTTCCTGATTGGTTTCGTCAGCATGGTGTTCTGTGGTCACCTGGGGAAAACAGAGCTGGCAGGGGTGGCTTTAGCCATAGCGGTGAGAGGCCCGTCTCCATTTTCAGCTTTTATTGGCAATTTGTTCCTAAAAATTATCATTTTATTTAAGCTTTGATGTATTTATTTACAGGTAAATTATGTTTGTTTTACAGGTGATAAATGTCACAGGCATTTCCATTGGCAGTGGTTTGGCATCTACATGTGATACTCTTATCTCCCAGGTATTTAATTTTCTTTTTTTTTTCACATCCACAGGTCAGTTACCAGCAGCAGCTGCTGCTGTGTTCACAAGCTGTTGTTTTCCATCTGTTGTCCTGTGTCTGCTCCTGGATATCGGCTGTTTCTCTGACCCTTCCTCTCAGACCTACGGGAGCGGAAACCTGAAGCGTGTAGGTGTGATCCTTCAGCGAGGAGTTCTGATCCTGCTCCTGGCCTGTTTTCCCTGCTGGGCCGTCCTGATTAACACTCAGCTCATTTTGGTAGCTGTCAGGCAGAGCCCAGAAGTTGCCAGGTGAAACCTTTCCATGACTAATCCACTGCATCTGACCCACAAAATGTCACTAACTAAGTATGAAATGCTCTACATCTGGAGTTGTGTGAGTCGAAGCTCTTGTGATTTCCTGCTTTTCTGTCTTTTCTGCCTCTAAGACTGTCACAGCTGTATGTGAAGATCTTTATGCCGGCTCTGCCAGTGAGTTCAGCTTCCATCATGCATTTACAAAAAGTTTTTCTTTCTTTTTTTATACGCTTTATTGAATAGCTGTTGTGTTGCATTATTGATCTAATTAACTCTATTCACTGCCTTGCCCTGGTTTTCTGCAGGCTGCCTTCATGTACCAGCTGCAGGGGAGGTATCTACAGAATCAGGTGCAGTTCATTTCTGTAAAGTCAATGGTGTGAGACGCCATCATGACTGAAAGTTTGACGCTAGCGAGCTTGTTTTTTCCCGTGTCTTGAAAAGAAACACGTATTTAGAGACAGGGACAAACAGCAGGTGCACTGTTTGCTTTTGCTCTGGATTGCAGGGCATCATGTGGCCACAGGTGATATCTGGAGCTGTGGGGAATGTTTTAAATGCAATCATAAACTACATCTTCCTGACCCTTTTAGACCTGGGGGTTGCGTGAGTACAAATTTGCTTTAAAACTAATTAGTAATTAGAGGGAAGATGTTCAATTAAAAAAAGAGAGAATTTGAAAATGATCCTAACATGGTATTATTATGTGATTTACACTTTCAGATTTGCACAAATTATCATCACAAATACAATGCAACATGAATCTCTTCACAAAAAATTAGACACAATTCTGTGTGTAGGGATAAACTTATGAATGCTGAAACAGGCGTGAACTTAGCGAGTTAGTTCTACTTCACGATGTTCTCTGTTAAAAATAATTAATTAATTTAAAAAACTAAAAAAAACAATTTTTTAAAGGAATTTTTAAGGAAGAAAGTTAGATGTTAAAAAACAGTAGGCTTTTTATTGTTGATTTATTTTGTCTGAGTGACTCCAACGACTGATTCCCTTTGGATTCTCACCTTTTGTTTAATCCTCTTCACTCCTCTGAAGTGGATCAGCAGCAGCCAATGCAATCTCACAGTATTGTTTGGCTGCGTTCCTGTTTGTCTACATCTGCATCAGAGGTCTGCACAAAGCTACGTGGGATGGTGAGTTAAGGAGTTTGAACTTTTGATTTGTTTTTAGGTTTTTTTAGGTTTGTTTGTTTTTACTTTCTTTCATTTCTTTCAATATTTCAATATTTACAAGCTTTACAACTGGCTATCACAGTGATTTTCAAACTCAGGGTCGCAACCGCATGCGGGGTCACCTGAAATTCAAAAGGTGTAATCTGAAATGTCTAGTAATTTATTTAAAACATTACTGCCGCAATCGATGAAAAATAAAAAGTTACAAATGTAAAAATGTGTGATGACAAAATGGGGCCATAAGTCAAAATAGGTTGAGGACCACTGGGTTAAAGGTAAATGTCACACAATTAAATGAACAAAACGTTGACTATTGCTGTTTATGTTAATGAAAAATGAATGCATGTGTGAAAATTATTTTTCAGACATTTTGATAATTTATTGTGCTTTTAACATTCGTTAAATGTCACAGAAAATATCAGTGTCACTAAAATGTTTCTTAGTTCATTTTTGTGAACATGTCGTTCCTTCTCCAATCTCCCAGGTTGGTCTGTAGACTGTCTGCAGGAGTGGGGCTCATTCCTCCACCTTGCCATTCCCAGCATGCTGATGTACTGTTTGGAGTGCTGGCTGTATGAAGTGGCAGCCTTCCTGGCCGGCATCGTCAGTGAGGTGGAGTTAGGAGCTCAGTCCATAGTTTATGAACTGGCTGCTATCGTTTACATGGTGACTTTGCTTTACTGTTGTTTTTAACCACTTAAATATTATAATTACTAATGATTATTTTCTATACTAAAGATGTTTATTTTTCTCTCCTGTCCCCAAGTTCCCATTAGGCTTCTCCGTGGCTGCCAGCATTCGTGTTGGAAATGCTCTTGGTGCCGGGAAAACAGAACAAGCCAAGCTGTCGAGCAAGGTCGCCATCACTGCCACATGTATGAGTTTGAGAAAGAGCTGAAATTTGTCTAATTACAACACAATGACAGGACAGAAGCTGTGGCTACGTCATATATCTTCTACATATACAGTACTTACAAAAGTATTCAGAACTATCCCACAGTCACCGTAACTGTTTATTTTTGTTGCTAAACCATTTCATCACCTTTTTTGTATTTTGTTTTTATTTCCAGGCATCGTCTCGTGTTTCATTGGATTATGTCTTGGTTTTTCCAAGGATGTGATTGGTTACATTTTCACTTCAGACATGTACGTGCCGATTTCGACAGCTGCAAAATATTTGTAGATTTGTAACCGGCGGGCTGGTATATTATTAACACGTAGAGTAATGATATTCTACAGTGTTACTGTAGAATAGTTTCAGACATGGAGAATGTTCGTTGGTTTTCCCCTCATAATCCCATTTCTCTTTTCACCCTCATTCAGAGAATTGATTCAAAGAGTGGCCGACATCATCCAGATGTACAGCTTCATCCACGTTGCTGAGGCCGTTGCGGTATGAATCTGTGTTGAACGGGTCAGTTTAAAAAAACAACCAGGTTTCATGTTAATCTGTGTTTACCCTCTGCAGGGTGTAACAGGAGGTATTGTCAGGGGAGCAGGGAAACAAAGCGTCGGTGCAGTGTGTAACCTGCTAAGTTTTTACTTCATTGGGCTTCCTATTGGGGTATCTCTGATGTTCCCTGTAAAAATGGGCATATTAGGTAATAAAAACAAAAATAACAATGTATGGATTTTTTTTTTAAATTTCATTCAATAATCCTTTTTTCATCTGTGTTGCAGGAGTATGGTTTGGGTTTTTAACCAGTCTCTCCATACAGTCTGTGTTCTTTTCAGTTTTCCTGTGGAAACTGAACTGGAGAAAAGCTACTGAAGAAGTGAGTGTTGACACCATGACATTTTTGTCTATTTAGTGGTTTTTTGTTTTTTTTTTGTTTTTGTTTTTTAATAACAGAGAAGTGTTGTTGTCAAAATTGTACATTTCCTAACATGATAATGGCTCTGGCAGGTAGTCTCAGTCTGTCTGATCCTGTCTCACTCGTAGGCTCTTGTCAGTCTCAGGGTTACTATTAATGTTTCGACAGTAGCTAGAACTAAATCCCACAGCTGCCTGTATAGACTCCCATAGTTATATGTATGTGCATCACGTTGCACAGCACTTGTAATGCTATTTTGAGTGCAGAGGAGGCAAAAACACAAAGGCTGCTCCTAAATTTTTCCTAAGCCAGATGTTCAAGTACAGCAGCAACATGTACGACAACTTTGTCTATATTAAGCCAAATATTATTGTTTTACTAATTCTTTCTTTGTCTGATCAGGCGCTGAAAAGAGCAGGAGTTCAACTCCAAGGGCAGAAGATTTCTGCAGTAGAAAGTGAAGGTACACAAAGGCTACTGAAAGTACTTTGTATTCCCGTGTATGTTTCTGACAGACCGAGCGTAACCACATGTTCGATTCTCTCCTCACTGTCTCTCTCCGTCACAGCGAGTGTTTCTGGTGAGGAGCCAGCCCCCATAGAGACCAGTCTATCAATTTCCTTGACTCCAGTTAAGGTAAATGATGAAGCAGTCGCTGCGGATCAACCTGCGTCAAGTGACGTGCGTCTCTCAGTCAGGCAGCTGCTGGTACGACGTGGATTCGCTCTGCTGCTCATGTTTGTCATCCTCACCACTGGAGTTCTCATCAGTGAGTTCCTCATCAATGTGCTCTAGTTACATGACTGACCAGTGTTAGACCACACGAGTGCAATTGCTTGTCTTCTGAGTCGGTGGTTAGTGGACGGTTCATAGCTGCTTCAGAAAAATTGAATTCAAAACAAGTTATTTTCTTTTTTTCTCTTTTTTTTTTAGATACTATACTATATTGTTTCCCAAAGTTTTTTTGGGGTTGTCTCGCATCATGTTTCTCAGGAGTTTATAAACAATGTCTATCAACTTGGGTCACAAATGTTTGTGACTTTCAAAATATGGGTCCCCAGAAAAAAGTTTGGGAAATACTGGTATATTATCACTGAATCACGTGAAGGTCCTCTAGAAATTATCTGCCAACCTTTTTTTTTACTGGAAGACATTAGCCATAAAAACACATATTATTCTTATAATCTGGGCTTCAAATGTATTAATTGTGATAAATAATTAATAACATTAATTATGTTATATTGAAATAAATTCCAAATGCATTCTTCCGCATAGGTAGAGCGAGACTGAATATCCCATGATTTCACTGTCCATCCATTTATGATAATGATTTTTCTTTTCATCTCACTGGATCTCATTTTTAATGATTCAGATGTCTTACTTTAATGGCCATTTTTAACCAATTTAAAAGCCTTTAAAAGCTATAATTTGCTTGGAATGTAAGAGGAAATAAAAGAAATCCTGTAACACATGCTGTGGGAAAAAGAGCCCTGGTGACAGTGTCAGACAATGTCAAATATTCCACATTCCTGCAGTACTTATTCAGAATAGATGCCATAATTAGGAAAAAAAACATAATTAACAGCTATATATATAACACTTGTGGGTGTCTGCTCTCATCATCAAAGAGAGAAAAGACAGGGTTTTTTTCTCCCACTTTGATCTGCGTTGCCAAATTTGATGATAATGAAAGGTCTGTGCGCTCATGCTGCAAAATGCTGGCTGGATGAAGACGCGTCAAACTGAGCAAATCAACCACCTGTTTACTCCGTGCCAGAGATGTTTAAGATGCTTCTCAGTTACAGCCTCATCGCTTAGCTTATTGTAGCACCCAAAAAAATGCCTGAAGCCTCATAATTAACAATTCCTATAACAATATTAATGCTTGGATTCCGGGAACTACATTATGTTCATGTTGGACAATGTCTGCGCAGCAGTGTCTCCACATTATGTTCATGTTGGACAATGTCTGAGCAGCAGTGAGTTAAATGTCCAAACAAACAAGGACAGAAGAAAGTATTTTATGAAACATTATAGCAGGTTAATTCAGGTCAACTTTATTTTTATAGGATAAAATAATGCTGTTGGTAATTACATGATCTTAAATCAGCATGTAATTTAACCTGCATTTTTTATGGTATCAGATCAAAACAATTTTGCAGGAGGGTTAGATTTTAAAAAACAGGCTTGTTAATTACATTTTTCTGTTGTGAATGCAGATCAGTAATTCTAACACTAGTTAGAGATTTGAATAGAAGAAGCAAAAACATATTTTGCTTTTCTTCTGTACTCTAACGTAAAACAGAAGGGATACTGGTTCAATAAAAACAATGATTCACACAGTGACGTTCGCGTCAGTGCCACCGAAATCTTTCCAGTGGAAATAGAATTTAATAATTCACCTAAAATCCTAGGTAACTGTGCAGTTCATGATGTCTCCAGTCCTACCAGCTGAAAGAATAGGAATAAGAATCAAGCTTTATTTACATGTTATCAAACATGTAAATAAAGCTTGATTCTTGGTTAAATAGTTGCCTGAGCTTCAGTGTTAATCATCAGCAGAGACACTGGCTCCTCACAGAGACTGTAATTTTAGCCTGCTCACCTTCAGAGACTGCAATCAGTGACATGCTGTGGCATCATTAACAAGAGTGGATTTGAAGATTGTGTTGTCACTGTTATTCAACCAGAACTTGTGACACAGTGGCTGAAGGAACCTGTGATTGACTCACTGGTTATAATGCAGTGCAGCAAAACAACAGTTTTTTCAGAGTTATTATTATTATTATTATTGTCAAGGTTTCTATCAGGGTTATATCATTTATATATGAGCCATAAATATATAATGATTCACATGTTTATTTATTAAAACAAGACCCGATTCTGGGTCCGGACCCTGTCTTTGGAAATGACCGAAGCATACAGTGCTACAGGTTCAGGCAGTGAGACCACGGGTTTGTGACTTCATGTGCAGCTTAGAAATTCACTCCTTTTCACTCCAGGAAAAAAAATGGACTCTAATGTCTGCTTGCAAGAACTGTATTCATCCAGTAGATGTCAACATCTCAGAGGTGTAGTGTTGTGTCCAGAAGAGGTAACATTGTAGGAGCAGAGACATTGAGCCAGTTCATAGTTGAGTTGGCACTGGCTTGAGCAGAAAACTCCGGCACAGGAAAAGCAATATGGAAAGCAACACCGACAGTCAGAGCAAGGACCAAAACCAAGGCAGTGAGTCCCCGACGTAAGAACAGCTGAGTGACAGAGAGCAGTTGTTGAGGTTTGGTTGTTGAGGCCGATTTGCTCTGGTCTGGATTCTTCTCACCCAGACCCACATTAGTGTTGTGACCTGGTTTCAGCCCCTGGTCCTGTGTGGTGACTGGACTGTAACCGTCTCCTTCAGAAACTGTTCCGTCCTCCAAACGGACCTTCAGAGGGTGTAGATGACACAGTCACTGTGTGAGTGGCCTTAATTATTCAAGAACGCACAGAACTTGATCAGCTCTTCTTTGTCATTTACTTACAGTGCCGAAACCATCTGAGACATCAGAAACCAACACCTCGTTCTGGTCTGTAACAAGTGCACTTTTCACTACTGATAGCACTTTCTTTCCAGCTCGCTTTTGAGCCTAGAGAAACAGCAGAGTGACCTAGTAAAGACTAGTTGGTATTTCCACAGAAAGCTTTACAAAAATGACAGGTTTTTCAGTGTTAGAATGTCCTGAACCTCAGCATCGCTCTTAAAAACCATCAGTAATGTTCTAAATCATCCATCATCTTATTCCAATTTAATATCTTCCAGTTCAAATTCCACACTTTCTGAGTGTTAATATGATCTCTTAATTTGTGAGACTGCCATCTGGTGGCAGCAGAGATCTCACCTAATGTGACGTTGCAATTTTTTATATTTACTATATAACTATTTTTGCTGCTGTCCAAATCGTTCTCGTTGTACATGGTATAATAAGATCCTACCTTTTGTGAGACTTTATTCCAGTTAAGTGTGTAGATAATGGTGAGAAATAACCCTGTTTGAACCATAACGCAGGTCAAAAGACCCAGCCACAGGCCTACAAGAGAGGACACAACATTTTTTTAAATGTTAACAGTTTCCAAACGATTCACCAAAAAGTTGTTACTTTAAAAAAAAAAATTTAATTGCTATGCGGTCGAATGGATCAAATGGAATTCAATTTAATTGTTGGTGATTTTTTTTTTCTAGTTCTCGATAATAGATTTTGGTACGGCCATAACATGACATAATATAAATAAATGTTTTGACATTTTGTCTCCTTGTTGATACAGCCTTAGGCAAGACAAGCTTTTAAAATTTTTAAAATAAAATTTTCAAAAAACATTTCACGAATTATTCAAAAGTAAATTAAATTGTACCTAAAAGTCCCAGTTTAGCAGGAAACATCAGAGCTATCCCCACCGGCATTCCGACGCAGTAGTAACCAACCAGGTTGGAAACGGCAGCAATTTTTTGCATCCCACATCCCACAAGAATCCCTGTGCAGACACACTGCAAAAAATGAAACACTCAAACTAAATGAAAATAGAACAGTCTATATGTCAGTGTATATCATTCATAATTATATTCAATAATAACCTACCAGTACTGCATCAAAGAACTGGATGAACAGATAAACGTTGAGGCACTGTGAGACAATCTGAACAATGTTCCTGCAAAAGAGTTTAAGACTGTCAGAAATATGGTTGCATTTCAAACGACTGAATGTTTATGGGAAACTCACGTATCTGAGGTGAATATGTAGCCAAGGACTGACTTACAGCTGACAATGATGATGCCCTGAAGGACGCCAAGAGTCCCTGCAGCAAAGACATTCAAGAAGAACTTCTAACTTCTCAATATCTACCTCAATATCTATATGTATTTAATATTCTATACCAACAATGTCAGACTCTTCAATGATCCGATCGTGAGCTCAGTTGTTGTGCTTCCAGTGACAACATCGCACACCTATGTCACATATTAACCTTTATTACCTCATTATTCATTCTTTTTTATTATATATTTACAGGGACCAGCACACTCCTACAGCCTGCTGCCACAGTGTGTCTGCTGTTAATCACGGGAGTGTTTCACGTATACTGTAGGTTAAATGTAAATAATGCCTCCTTTGGGCAGTAAAAGCCCAAAACTTGAACCACTAGTCCCCGGGCTGCCCTGAGGTGTATCAACTTTAATACACCTGACCTTCAAAATATTTAATCCTTTCTTATCTTACCTGATAAAACCAATGACACTTTGGTCGTGACTAAGGCCCTGGCACTGTTTCCAGCCCCAAGAGCGTTGCCAACTCGCACACAGACCGCTGCATTGACACCTAGAGGAATCTACAAAGACTCTGTATTAGTGACTCATTTGACATTCCAGTGAAGGTTTACTTCAGGTGAGAAATCCAGAGTAAATAATGATTATATAACAATGTTACATCATCAGTCCAATACTTTTTTGTTTTCTCTTTAGTCACATCATTGTTTCACTGTTACGTTGTTACATTTGTTTTATATTCAAAACAGTGAAAATGAATGAAATTACAGAGGGTAGTGTATCTACTGATGAATACAGCATCACTGTGACCATTAGAAATGACTAAAGGAGTTGGAGTTAATTTTACTGAAATGAACAGGATTGAAGATCCATACCATGTATACTATGGTTCCAATTTCATCCAAAATATGCTGAGCAGCGAGGGCTGACTCTCCAAGTAGACCTAATAAATGATAAAAAGTCAGATTCACAAATTCAAACGCAGAAAGTTCACAGCAAAACACGTTTGATTTAACACTGTAAAAGTCAAAAGTATATCTCAAAAATTAGCTTTATATTTTCCATAGAAAAATGGATGCACGTGTTTTATCGTCATAAATTTAAAAAAATATATATATTGCAACTCATCCCACTGACCTGACAGGAAACTACTACCATCCCAGATCCACCATTCAAGGCAAACCATAAATAAACTGGGAAGAGCCAACTTCATGTAGGAACCCCATTCCCGCAGAGAGTCAATGGACCAGCCTGCAGAAAGTTTCACAAACAAAAAACATTCTATATGGTTACCTACCTTTTACCAACTGGTTCAAAGTACTGAGTTAATATTAGATTAGAGGTGCACCTGCCCATGTTGGTTCATGGAGTTTCTTCCACCTGATGTATCCAAACAGAAGCAGGCAGATGATGATCTGAGAAAGGCTGTTAGCAATCGCTGATCCACTGCAAAACAGACAAGGCAGACACAACTTTATTTAGACTATAATCAACCTCAAACTAAAGAATAAGTAGCCGAGGTGTAGCCAGGCTCTTCAAAAACCCACAGGAATTCATTTAAAGGAAACGAGGGCCCAGGTTTCACAGAAGAGGACTGAATGATTCACTCTGTAACAAATGTTTGTCCAGCTGGACAAGGGTCAAGCCCCGTCAGAGCTCCCCCTTCACATATAACATGGCTTCCTATTTAAAGAAATTACAAACATAACAATAATCGGCATGGGACTGACCCTATTTCAACCAAAACAATTCTAAAGTTAACATCTAAACCTTCAATACTGTAGCTCTCTGATCTTTTGCCTGCTTTTTTTCCAAAATATTTTTTTCCGTTAGCCCCAGGCCGGCTTCTACACAGCTAGCAGCGGAAGTGGAAGTAGAAAGTGGAGAGACAGATAAAAAAAAACCAACATTACAAACACTTACAGAATCCCCATCTTTAGACTGATAATAAGGACATAATTGACACCAGCGTTAATGATGTTCGCTGCTACGGATGTGTACATCTGTGGAAGGATAATTCCCTGAAAAGCAAAAAAAGGAAAATGACAAAGCGTTAGCGTGACAATAGCCACAACAAAACATGTTTTCAAAGGGTCAAGGTTGAACACATATGAACAGAGTTTATAGATAATTTAGACAGACATTTAACTTAAAGACAACCAAGAATTGACACATGTGATGTAAATGTAATGGTAAAAAAGTTTTGATTATTCTCAAACAATCTGGAAGAATTAACATGTTCATATTTTTCATGTCAAATGCTGTTCTTTTGGGTATTTACCTGGTTTTGTAGATAAGAAACTTGAAGCTGGTGCAGGTACATAGCCTGGCACAGAGAGAGGGAACGAGAGACAGAGAGAGAGAGAGAACAGTCAATAGAACAATGCTAATGTAACCTGTGATTTTCCTGGCTAGTTTTGTTTGTGATTTGTTAGATTAAAATCCAACTTCTATCCAAAGAAAATTAGCCTCAAAGAATGACACTGACTGTTGAACTGTTAAACTTCTGACAATATGTTTAGTTGTCTTTCATTTTCTCTGATGTTTCCTGTCTCCTGTCCTCCTTCACCAACACGTGTCGATACAATAGCATGTATAAGTCGACGTTGCTGTGTGCACTTACTGGAACGGCTGGTAGAAACACTAACAAATAGAGCTGAGCGATTCTGAAAAGAAAACACCATTGTCAAGACAAATGTACCCGTGATCTGGCACATAAAGAGGGACGCTGGGTTTTTTTTAATGTACCTTGCCACCTCCTCCTCCTGATGCAGAAGGATCAGTAACTGGTAGGAGTTTATGAGGACAGCCCAACAAGGTAAACAGAACAGCAGGAGGATGATAATACTCCTTTGGAGGATAACTCCGACCCGTTTCATGTTCTTATTACCGTACGTCTGTGCGATACAAAAGAGAAAATCAAATGTGAATACAGAGGGCTCAAAGACAGGCAGTGTGACAAACGATAGATGCTCAAAATGAGGTTCGCTCACCTGAGAAATCAACGTGTCAGAAGCCACGGATAAACCAAAGCCTGTTGCAGCTGTTGTGACGTTAATAAACTGGTATACAGAAAAATCACAAATGAAAAAAATATACTGTATATACGCAAAATGATTTACACTGACATTTTGTCACATATATTTTTTTTTATTCAAGTGTTAAATAATTTAATTCAGCTGCAAGCTTTACTGCAGCAAAAGGCCTGAACACACAGGACTTTGTTATTGACAGATGCACTAGAGTCTGATTTCAATCCTTCATTGAGTATTCTGTCCTGTATATTCAAGGCAAGGCTAATTCTGTGCTGTATGCTCAAAATAAATGTTTCCACCTCTGTAACATGCAAAATCTTTTTAGTTTCCTTGTAGGATTTCATGGTTGAATCATGACTATTTGCCGCCCTGTTCCAGTTTGTGCAGCAGTTAATCACTAAAGACTTTAGAGCATCAGTCACCGTGCCCTGTTTGCAAGGCCTTTAATCTGCGCTCATTCAAATCTTACATCATTTAAGTAGGTCTGTCAGAAACTGTGTGGGTGGCTACAGTGAAAAAAGACCTCACTGACAATGTTTTCCTAATGAACGTGTGAGAATTAACATATATAGTAGAATTCAGGGAAATGCCTCGCAGAGGCAGGAATATTCCAAGTTAATTTTTTTTTTTTATAAAACCTCTAAGTGTCACAAAATAATTCCAGGATTATTTAAGGCTATTACAGAATTGTAAACCCCAAATGTGTGGTTTATTTAGAACACTGTTCTGCTGCGACCTGTTCAGAAGTGTTAACATACACACATCTGTACTGCAGTACCGCCAGCAAGGAAACTGTTACATTGACCTAGCAAGAGATATATTTCCTGTATGCATTGAGCCATAGAGTCTTCAACAGATGGTGCACAGCATCATTGAGTTCCATTAAGGTGCTATAGAGGGTCATGACATTTTTAGTTGATTATAGTCACAAAAGCTTATGGCATCTAACCTAAGGAACCGGGAATGTTGAAACTACTGCTATGTCAACTGTTATAGACTCTCCTCTGATTGATTACTTCCTAGTGACATCTTATCTACTGCAGACGCTCCACCATGGTCTCCATGTACTCTGTGTTCACCTAATTTGTCACTGTCTCCATCAAGGCCTGGAAATGATGCATGAAACCAGGGGGACAACATTGTACTACATGAAGCCTGCAGGTGCACACTGGCAACATCTGGTCACCACAGCAAATGACAAAGGAGTAAGTCTTTAGCTCAGATGACATGACAGGACAGGTGCACTTTGTAGTAAAAGTTAGAGATACTTTGTAGTTTTTGTAAAACTATTTTCTAATTTGTATTTTTAAAAAGCGTGTACCGCTGAGCCCAGAGCGTATCCAGCCAGTGCGGCATTCCCTATGTGTCCACAGAATATGGTGATGACGGTGGGCAGGAGGATGTTCAGGATTCGGGACAGCAGCTGTGGAAAGAAACAACAATGGTGAGCTGTAGTTCTTTATTTATTGATTGCCATTTATGTCTCTTAAGGTAACTTAAGAGAATATGTTTTATTATATATGTGCACATGCTGCTGTTGCTGTATTACGAAGGTGTGAAACTAAAAATAGTGCAGTAGAGGTAATGAAAGCATTTAATTCAAATTCTAAAAAAAAACAGAAGTTAAAAAAAGAAAATGCAAAAAGCAAAATTCATTCAAAAAAGACTTTCAGTTACCCTAGATTTCAGAAATGCTTCTCTTCTTATGAGCCTGTGTATTAAACGTATAAGATTTCAGAAATGCTTCTCTTCTTATGACCCTATATATAAAACTTACATTACTGCAGTATTCTCTTAATAACAATAACAGTAATATCTATCTATTCTATTTATTTAATCTATTTTTTTTATTCTTTATACTGTCAGGAATGATTAATTTAATGAAACACCATAAAATAATTTCTGGCTGTTCCTCCAGTGAGAAATGTTAATCATCTTAATTCCAAACATTCATGTTCATGTCACTTTAAATGGTTGATTTCAAACCCTTTTATTTGGTTTTACAGCATTCCAGAACAGTGTAAATCTTTAAATATTTGTCGATAATCCGTGCATTTTTCAATCATTTAATTCCCGGCAGGTTTTCTGCAGTTAGAAAGATAAAGATTATCAGTAAAAGCCACCACAGGTGAGGGTGAGGCAGCAAATCGTTCCCAGTATCTGACTTCACTTCTGTTTATCTTTTCGAGTAAAAGACCAGAGTTGCACAATTGTTGAATAAAGTGCATCATCAATAGAAAGCATTGTTTTCACCTGGCAACACACCACACTAATGGATTCATTTGTATGTATTTCAATGATCTCTGCAACAAAGTACCTCTAACAAATCCCCTCACCACCATTTCAACTTTCCCCTACTCACCAGTGGACCTGTGAGCTTCAAGACCTGGTGCAGTTCCTCTCTGTAGGCCAGCGGTAGCCAGCGTCTCACGAATGCAGTCGGGCACATTTTAGAACTGACTTTTGCCTCAGCCTCGTCTCTATCTGCCCCTGCCATCCTGGCAACAGAGTGTCAGGCAGTGGCCTCTAAACCCGCGGTGGCCTGTGGAAGTTTAACTTGAAGCCAGCTTTTTGAGACCAACGGAGGAAAGAGGACAGAGTACAGAGAGAGGGGGCGGGGGGGTTAAAAGCTAAAGGGACAATCGTGGAAGGAGGGATCAGGCGAATGAGAGAGCAGGGGAAGGCAGTGTGTCTGGGTTTAGAAACACCACACATCTTCAAAGTTACTGATACAATAATAACACCAGGGAGGGAGAGAGGGGGAGAGATTGTATTCAAAATGGAGGCTAAAGGGACTCTTATTGACTGAGTGACTTATTTATTGGCAGAGCAAACAAGTGAAAGAGTTGATCAAGGTGAGAGCCATAGGTGAAATGAAGATATGGCATAGAGATATGGTTCATATAGGTCAAACGTATTCAACATAACGTTGTAGTTTGTTTTGTGTGTGTGTGTGGTATGGCCACCTGTGGGGACATATGTATAAAACACTGTTGTTGTGGGGACAGTTTTTGTCTGAGTTGAACGTTTTGGAGTTAGGATTAGAATTAGGATGAGGATTGAGTTTAATGGCTCGTGCATGCTAACGACTTCAGGAGTGAATTGTTTGTGCTTGGTTTGTCCTTGCAGAGCTCAGCAGTAATCTCGTGGGGAATGTTTGGACGTTGTACACAGCAAGTCCCACTGAAGGCGTAAAAGTTACAGCTTTTACGTGTTCCCTTTGCACGTCTGTCTCTCTCTCTCTCTCTTTCACTCTCCTTCTTTGTGTGTGTGTGTGTCAGTGGTTGGTTTGTTAACCTCTGAGCTTATCATGCTCCCAGTGTACTTTGACCCTGCTGTCTCTATCCCTGTATGGGACCTGTATTCATTCATTTCTACCTGACTTTATTGTGAACCACAACTTCTAATGAGAGCAAATGATTATCAAATGATTACGTGTCATTCAGACAGTTACTCCTTGCGATTAAACACTGATGAACACATCCACTTTCACAAGCATTCATGTTAGTGTGTGTGTTGTTAGCAGAGCAGAAAACAAAACGCTGGTGAGTGGATGTTTGTTTATGTAAGTTCCAATAATAACATGTGCTGCAATTGTTGTCAACCTTTGACCGTGGACCATGTTTTCAAAAGCCAGTGTGTAACCGTGAAGGCTGAGTGTTTAACTTCAGTTTGTAATACACCACAGGCGACGTTCCTGTTCCTCCTCGGTTTAATATAATACTGCAACATAAACTCATCAGAGAAGGATTTTTTTTGTCTTATGGTGCAGCTAAGGTCTAAACCTTTTACTGACAGTTCACTCACTCTTGATGAATGCGCCTTTTCTGCTAAGATTTGATGTCCAACTAACTTCTGATTTAAAATCCCACAGTTTATTGTTTTATTTTCGATAAACTTTCCATTAAGGGCAGTCTATACCAGTATGTTTATGGGAAATCAAGCATATCATAACCGAGGTTATAAAAACACTATGACTATACAATATTTGAAGTCACTTCTGAAACCAGCAGGTGACAGTATGGTTGACTTATATGCCATTTAGTGATGTGTCTTTTTAACAGAATGTGAAAGTAACTGAGTAGAACAAATACCTGTAGCTGATGTGAAATAGTACACACCGAGATGCCTTTGTGAAGGACATACTGTGTCTGTGGCGAGTGAAGTAAACCATTGACAATAGGTCATCTATGCAGTAGTGACTTTCTTAAGCAGAATACTCCAAGCCACTTTTTGTAATAATCTGACCAAGGAGCTCCAGGCCTTTGCAGAGAAGCAGTGAAGGTATTGAGTCACACTGACGATTGGCTTTGGCTGAGCTCGTAGGTTTGCTCCTCTCTTACTGTCTTGCTGATTTAAATTTGAAAATTTCAAAGTGTTCCAGTGTGTGGCAGCGAGTGGCACGCTGTATATTAGCAGCGGACGTAGCCGTCAGTAGCTATTAGTCAGCAGCAGTGAAAGATGCCGCAGTGTGCTCAGCTGCTTCTCAAAGTAAGATCTTAAGAATGGATGTCCAGGAGAAATCAAGGCTAAATCTCGCTTGAGATTTAAATGTTTTTACACTGATAGTCTACTGTGGTCTTTGACAAAACATGAAACATTTTCTTAATTAGAACTTTATTGTTAGAAAAAGAATAGATGGCAAATTGCACATGGGTGGATGTCACTTTTTTGGTCACATTCTCAATGAGAGGTTTAATAAAATCAGTACATTATTTTAAAAAGGGCCAACACTACTGAATAAGACCACCAAATGCCCAGGTGAATGTTTATTGATGTTATAAAATGTAATAATAGTTCTTGGAAAGTTGTTGCACAAGTGTTGTAATGCTGAGTGAGTGAAAGAGGAGCCAGGAAAATGGCCGACTACTAGACAAACACTTTCTTCTGCTTTACTTAGATTTCACATTCTTACTCTTATATAGAACTAAATGTATTGCTTTATTTATTGTATATAATTGCCTAGTATCAGCCTTCTTATCATTTATTTTGTCTTGCAAGACACAGAGTACGGTAGTCTCCAGTGTAGTCTGGTGTTTGGACTGAGCTGCACTGCCACCAATTGGCAGCCAGTGTAGGTGAAACAAAAAAGTTTTCAGATCATGATGGCCAGACAGAGGGCTGAAGCCAGAGAGCAGTTTTGTAAAATACATTTAAAATAATAATAACTGTATTTTTTCATGCCCACAGAGATAATCATAGACTTAAAACACTTAAACTTTTATCATGTATCATATTAATGAATGACTCCAAGTGACTGCTCTAAAAGCCTGTCGTAACAGTTAATCAATGTCTCTCTCTAGTGGGTGAGAGAGGGAGAAAACACATCATCTGTTATTGTTAAACTTTTTTCTATTATGTCTAGCTTTTCTTATTCCTTGTCTGACCTTTAGTCAAGATCAAAGAGTTAAGATACGTTACCTGTAAGCCTTTTGGTAAACTATTCAGCAACTTTTTATGGTCTTTGCTTAGGTTTTTCCAAGGATAAGATAACCTTTAGTCATTTTTGCTTACACTTGTCTAGAAGCATTGACATAACCCCGGTGTAGTGCCCAGAGATACATGGCTAGACTTTTCACCGTTGTGAGACTTGTGACATTATCCATATACATTGGGTTATCTTTATAAAAAAAAAAAAAAAAGGAAACCTGTGTTTTCTTAATGTGTGAAAATGCATTTGTGCGCCGGTTAATTGTAATATCCGTTGTTAATATCCGTTCGCATACAATGTAGAGGAACATAGCTACAATTTATGCATACACACTTGACGCATGACACACAGTATGACATATAGACATAGCATAATTTCAGGAAAGGTATATAAGGGAAACAACGTAACTGTGAGCTTGTGTGTGTCTGTGTGTTTATCTTCTTCATCTGTGGTGGACTTAGTTTTTCTAAGCAAATACTGCTGTTATATATATATATATATATGTGTGTGTGTGTGTATATATATATTAAACCAGGTGACCACCAGAGGACAGCATGATGTCTTACCTAATACCATATTCCTATCGACCAGACCCTTTATCTGGATGTAGATCATAATTGGCAATTTGCTGCATGTTGCCCTTGTCGGGAATCCTCAACCGAATTATATTGTTCACATTAAATAAAGATACGGCCCATATGTATTATATACTGCAATGGTAGCCGTAGCCAATGTTCCATTACTTGAAAATAGAATAGTTAATGCTTTACAGGCTTTTAAAAAACCTTGTAACCGTGCCTATAAATATTACATGAATGTGCTTTAATACCTCCTTCCACACCCAAGAGATTTTAGTGCCATTGTTACGACGTTGGCCAATAAAAACTCCTCCAGTGTTTACACATTATAGTCATGCACGTAATTACACAACAAAGATTTAGAGAGAAATATGGGAAAGGGGAAGATTGAAAGGGTGTTGGCAAGGATTGGTTGGCAGAGTGATGAGAAAGCAAATTAGCAAGGAGTAAAGGAAGTTGTTAAAATGCCCTCACCACCAGAAGATCCATATAAGAGTTCCTGACACCTGATGACAGTCCTTCACGCTGGGAACATCAGCAATAACGTGTCAAGAAGAATTAGCAGGAAACAGAACGACCAGGTAAGACCCGGTCCTAGTTCTCTTGTATTATTACATCAATTTGAGATTATATTTATATTAATACATAAATATAATTTTCATCCCCACCTGTGATTGTACAGAATTTACACTGTATTTTGTTGTTAAATATCAATTTTTAATTTAGTAACAAAGGCAAAAAAAAATGTGCGTGTATACTTTAATATCCCAGGAAGCAAGACAAACAATTTTTAAATACAAACAGTGAAGGTTTTATCATGTACGACTAGTGCAGGATATTTGGATTCTAGTCCAGTAAGTATGTTTTATAAGCACTTTTATTATATTCTAGCACTTTTCACAGATAAAGATCAGATATCATGAAGTTCTTCAAGATATCATTAAAACAAAAGTGGTCTACATAAAATTGAGCACATTGGCAGACAAAACAGAAACACTGCGAAAGGTCGACATAAAACATCGCTATCAAAAGATTAAAGGGTCTCGTAAAAGACATCACAAAAAGTCCGTCTGAACGAAATTATCTGCAGCTGCTTCTTGGTTTAAAACTTCAAAAGTTTGTGTTTATTAAATTTTAAGACAATCAAAAGTTACTAGTAAGTGGAAAGCCGACCAAAAACAGCAACTACGTTTGTAAGTATAGATAATTAACTAAACATTAGGACAGACACATAAATAATAATTAGAGCTAATCTAAATTAAATAGGTAAAGACTAACCAACAATATAGATAAAATATATTAAAAAGGAGAGAGAAAAAAGGTCTGACAAAAAGTTGTTAAAGGTTAGCAATTTTTACCATCATAAAATAGATATGTTCGCTTCAGTTAGCCATTCCTTCAACTCTCCTATGATGTTTTCCACACTTTGACACAAATATAGAAAATATTGACAGGGCTCGCCCCCCAGTTTGGGAACCTTTGCCCTGATGTTTAATGAAAGTGTCCAGGAAATAATACAAAACACCCTGATATTTTTCCACATGGGCATTTGTTGCCCTAATAGGAACCTTATGTGTGTGTGCTCTTGTATGTTCACCAAAGTATCAGTTTCTATTATTCATATTGTATTTAAAATGTCGTGTTATATTTATTATGTGTTGTTGGTAAAGGGAAACTTTAATTCAAATGCAGTTTCCTACTTCACCTTAAGTAACTTTTTTTTAATTTAAAATGAAAGTAATTAACTTTTAGTGTTCTTTCTCAATTTGTCCAAGACAACAGTAAAATGAAGTTGGTGCTCCGAGACCTTCTCTTCATCTTCTGTGCAGCCCAGACAATAGGTAGTAGACTGTGATTTACATTTTTATTTGGCTTCCACTTAAATTATTCATTGCTTCACTGAGCGACCCTTCTAAAAGGTCATTATTCTTAAGGTGTCAGGATCCAGTCAGACCCAGCATCCAGCGGTGGTGTAATACAGACAGAGCTGAAGACGACAGTGTCTCTGCTGTGCCAGCCCGAGGGCAGCGCCGAAACTGAGACTGATGAAGAGCTGGTGTGGCTGAGAAACGGCGTTATGGTCAGCCTGAAAGACGATAATAAAATAGGACGCAGCAGCGTGTGCGTTACACCTGTTATCTATGAAGATAACGAGGCTACGTTCACATGTCACCTGAGCAACAATGCCACACGGAGGGCCTCCATCACCCTGAACGTCACATGTGAGTTCTTCCGACACTCGACAACACCCAAAATTATATGTATTATATATTCTTTAGTTTAGGATTAAAAGCGACATGTAAGGGACATCAATAAAGTTGATAAAACCAGACCAGGAGAGAACAAGAAATTAACTAGAATTTAAAACAGGACCTTCTTGCAGAAACCTTACTAGAAATTTTGTAAAAAGCCAAGGTTTAGGCCAAAAAACAAATGTTGAAAAAAAGTCATAGTCAAGTCTGGAGAATTCAATAATTACTGTATGGAACCATCAATGAAACACAGGAGATGCTCTGTAATGGTTTAGGGCTGCATTTCAGCTGGTGGAACTGGGCACCATAAACACCATTACACATATGAGTAATAGGCGAAAGACTAGGCTGGAGGTGGCAGAAATAAAGATGCTGAGATTTTGACTGGGTCAGTCAGCAGGGTGGACAGGAAGTTAGAGTTTGAGTTCGAGTTAAAGAGTTAAAGTTAAAAAAAATTGAGGTTCAGACGGTGTGGACATAGGTTGAGGAGAGATAGTGGAGATATTGGACAAAGAATTTGGGGGATGAAGCTGCCAGACATGAGGAGAAGAGGAGATTTATAGATGAGTGTCCAAAGAAGTAGTCACACTTTGGTTTATTTTTCTCTTCCAATTCCTCTGTAGATCCTCCGGAGCTCTCTGGGTCAGCAGAGGTTTCTGTAGAGGACTCAGCAGACCTAATCCTCAATTGTGATATCTGGGCCAATCCTCCAGTCTCGTCTGTGTTGTGGACACTGAATGGAAGTGAAGTGGATCTCGTAGCAGGTCGTTTCACAGTCAGTAACGATGGCTTTACAGGTCGTTTGTCCAGCACAGGCATTGAGAGAAGTCTCCATGAGGGCGTTTATCAATGCACTGTGGTCTCTCCTATGTATGGAACATTCAGCAAGTACTTTCAAGTCACAGTTACAGGTCAGTTTACACAGTCACCACATCACAACATTGAGTTTATGTAATTGTCTAATAATGTTTTCCTCGTCTGTAGAAAAGACCATTAAGTTTCCATTGATGCCCATGATAGCAGGGATTGTGGTGGTCTGTCTAACGTCACTTCTGGCTGTAGTTGCTCGATGGCGCACATTCGTCAAGGTAAAAGCACGTGTACTTCTTGGCTAACTGTGATTGATTGTGGATCACTTCTAACACACAAATATTTACGGTCAATTTCATCTCTCTTTTGACAGTGCTTCAAGTCATGTAAAAACTAAAAGGCCTTCAACTACACCAGAAGAGCCCAAAAAAAAGTGCTGTTGGTTTATATTTGCCTTTTTTTTTAGATTACAGTTTAGCAAATGTGCAATGACATTTTGGTAGAATGTGCTTTGGTGCTATTTTTAACCTCGGTAGACAAGGTTAAAAATAGTGGAGCATAGATCAATTCACAGACGAGACCTTGTATTAATTTTAGATTGTTTCCATAACTGTGGACAAACCATTGCACCATTAAATAAATCACTAAGACTAAGACTATTCATATTAGACCATGATACAAATAATATTGTTATATTTTTTACCAGATCACACATTTTATGTTATATTAAAGCAGACCTTTACAGAATTAATGTAAAGACCTAAGGTAAAAATATTTATTTCAAAAATACCTTTTATTTACCCCTACAAATTCCCTGTAACCCATCTATGTAATTATTAGGAATCCAAAAGCTACGCCAAATTTAAACACCTTAATTATCTAATCTAATCGTAGCCAAATAAAGATGAGATTATCCGTAAGACCATTACTTTTCTGTTTTAATGCACAAATAAATTACTTCTAACATAACTTTATTTTTGGGAGGGGTGAGGGGTTATAGTTTCAGGATGTATTTGGTGTTGTTTGATGACAACATATTGTAGATGTTAATTGGAATAGCCTGGTGTTGTCAAGGCATACGGTCCGTTGCCCAATAAATGTGTGTTTAATTTTTTTAAAGTTAATGTTATATTACTATTTAATGTTAAAAAATGTCTTCTCCGGACAATACATGAATAAATAATAGATTGTTTTTTTTGTAATTGCAAGAATTTTATAAACTAGTTAAATGTCAAGATATACACTTATTATTGTTTGTCTATATGTTTTATTCCCTTATTTTAAACTTCCAGAAGGATTCAATAAAATATATATATGTATGATATATGTAATATATATTGTAATATATATTCAAAATCATGCCTTGATACATTTGGCTGATGTATGCGGTGACTCTTTAAAGAAGTAGAACAACAATACAAAAACCTGTTTAATAAATGTCAAACTCTTGGTGTCTGAACTTTAACTCCTGACTTATGATACAACCAAGGCTTGTTAAAAACATGTTATACATTTACTCTTAATGAGACCAAAAAAGGACAAGGACTACCATGTCATGTCAAGGTCAAGGTCTAAAGCTTTGTGATCTTACCAATAAAAAATACCTTACAGCTTCACATAAAACAGCAGGATGAGCACGTTTGCCAGGAAGGCAGTTTCCTGAGGTGAGCAGGTACGTACGGCTCAAGGCTATTGTCTACATCGCTTTTTTATTGTGAAAAAAGCTCATTTAGTTCAATGTTATATATATCTAAAGTCTTTAATACAACACATAATCCTTTACACTCTATCTATAGCGTTATGTATTATTTTTTATTTAATGAAAGTATTATAAAGAAAAAACCCTACCTTTCTTTAAACTACAACAAATAAACACGACATTGGACACATTTCTAATGAAGGCCAATAGTGACATCTGGTGGACAATTTAGACTGCATGTTTTTCTTTTAATTAGTGATTAAATAAAACGCAAATGGTATTCTTGGGAATATAGGTTGATAAAATATTCAGTTGTTCATCTTGATGTTTATTATTTATAATGGAATATAGTTATTTTCATATATACCAAAACAGGTCATTTTAATGTGGCGTCTGCCAAAAAATATTTTAAGTTCTACTTGATTGTCTACATTAATCATTTATAATAAATAAGTGTTTTAAGTTGACTTAGGCTTCGAGGCTTAGCGTCTGACGTCACAGCGGCGACCCTGCGTGAAGGGCGTGGTGTTGAGCTAGTGAGTGCGGTCTGCGGTCCGCCGCCAAATTCAAACAGAGAAAGAAAGGAGAAAAAAGGGAGAGCTAGAGCTGAGATTTAGGAGAGAGAAAACTTACAACTGCTTTAAGGTAAGCTGTGACCGATTGAAAAGACTCCTAAACTAAATAATGTGAAGCTGATCAACATCTAATCGTTTTTTAAATTAAAAATAGCAACGTGATGCGCTAATGCTGTTTTTAATAAAACCGACCGACATACTCACGTACTGTCCACGTTGTGTTTATCGTAGACTTATTTTTAGCATAAAATGTTTACGCACGTTGGATGTTTTAACATATTTACACATGTGTAAATCTATTCCTATGTCCTCGCTGGCTGCTTTTTTTAAAATTGTGAAGATTAGGATTAAAAGAGACGATGTGGTCATTGTCTCCTTTGTTTTCCTGTTGTTCAGTTAGTAAGGAGCATGTTTCACAAAAGTTTTTAAGTATAAGTATTTAATCTGAAGAATGTACTATCAATGAGTGAAGCCTTTATTGGCTTAGATAGTCTTAAAAGGTTATAGTTTTAATATACAAAATAAAAAATGATTATTCATTACAATGATTAAATAATTGATTATCAAAAACTCAAATCAGTATAAAATCAGTTTTATAGTATAACAACAAATAAAACAACATAGGAGCCTGACTATAAAAAAAATAGAGTTGGAGGGAATATTGTAAGAATGGGTGATATAATTAATTACATGTTTAGAATTAATATTTGGGACAAAGATGTATGGTTCTTACTTCATTTGCATTCTTTTTAAAAAGTATGATAAAATGCAAGAGGACAGGGAAGCAATCCTGCACACTAGTGGCAGTTAATCAAAAGGTAAACAACTTTCATTTGGATTCTGACCTCTGTCTCATATATCTGGCAACACTACCAGCAGGGAGTTCCAGTGTCTGGGGCCTCTGGATTCAAAGTCTTCGTCCTCTTTTGTTTTTTGCTGAGGCTGTGGAACAGTTAAAATAAGAGCCCATAGTGGGGGTCTCAGTCTGTTAGTGGGGCTAATGTTATTTAAAGAATAAAGAGCAAACATAAGAGTCTGTGATAAAGAAACTATGTGCTTTTGATTCTAACTAGTTACTCTGACTGTTAATCATAAAACCATGAAATAATATGTAAAGTTCCGCTTCAGAATGCAAACATTTATTTTCACTATTTTAAGAACCTATAACCTAATTTACTTTGGAGAACCAGAGAAAAATACAAATAGTAAGATTCATGCCCAAATACTTCCCCATAGAAGTAAAGAACTCAAAATTACTTAAATATTCTGCAGTGTACTTGAAAATAATATCTTTATGTTTAATGCTGTTATCTTAGTCGTCATGGCATCCTCAGTGATGGATGGAGTTGGCAGGGCTGTGGTGGGAGTGTGGCGGGCACATACAGTTCTGGATGAGTCTGATGGTCCTGACAGCTCCCCAGAAGTCCCAGACCATTTCCGCAAGCTTCGTTCTACGTCTTCACTCAACTCTCTGAGGATGACGTTACGCAAACGTCTCCCACTTCGTTCGGTCCAGACCAACTCCCTTCCTGAGAATCAGACTCAGACAAAGCCTAAGGAGCAACCAAAGCCAAGCACGATGCGAAAACTAACACGAAGTGCACGGAATTCTGTCACTGACCTCTACCAGGTGAGATTCCTGGAAACCACACTGCTTTATATTAACATTTGAAGTTTTTCCATCTCATCCTTTGTTGTTTGTTTTTCTCTCTCTCTCTTAGAGGCTGCAAAAATCGAAAGAGTTTTCACGTGAGGATTGTTTGGTAGCAACCCCTGGCAAAGTCTATGATGAGGAGGGAATGGATGTTTCAAATTCTCACACTCCAAGGTGCACCCCTGGTCGACGTGCAACACCCAGACGGACCCCGAGATCGTCATCCAGATCTTGCCGTACACCAGGTTCTAGAGGAAAAAGAACCCCTGAGGCTGGAGTACGGGGAGTTAAAACAGGGGGAGGTAGGAGACAGTTGGTCCGAATGGCAGCCCTGCGCAGCCCCTTTGCTTCACCCAACACCCAGAGCCAGAGGATGTGAGTTTTTTTTATTAAATACAGACCATATGCTGCATTTATACATCATAAAGCATAGGTTTCATACATGTTATTGTTTGTATCTTCTCTCGTGTAACAGAAGGTTTGACAAAGATTTGGAGTCGGTGTCTAGTGGACTCAGAAGACTTAAACATCTGTCGAAGGCCTTTGATGAAATGATTGGAAAAGACGACAGGTAGGAAGCGTCTTCATTTAAACCGTATTTATCGTTTTTTGTTTATTCTAAGGATCTGTGGTTATATTTAATGGTCTTATCCTTCCTGGTGTAGTCATGCCTGGGGAAGAGCACAGACTCATGCTGCCTCCCCTCCCACTAAAAGAATCTTATTTTGCACTGAAGCTTCTGGGTCTCCACATTTCCTCCCCTCCCCCTGCACACATTCTTCCCGCCTGGATTTTTAAACTGGATCTGTGTTACTGGTATTTGGATGGGGGGGAGTTCAGGGGGACAGCAGCAGGAGAGCATATGGGTTGTGGGAACTGAGGCCATACAAAATGACAAAAATGTGCCTTTGAGTGCCTGCAGTCTACTGGCATCACTTCCTGTGTTGACTTTTAAAATTTCAAGCAGCCATAGAAAATGAGTTCCTCAGTGAGTGCCTCACTGAAAAGCAGTGAGGCTCACAACAACAGTGGCTTTGTGCCTATCAGTGAAGCCACTGTATCTGAACGTCATCCTGTGAAAATGTACAAAATATACAAGTGTGTTTTTCCTCTACAACAGGCGGGTCAAGTATTCTCTTATGGAGTAGGAAATAAGGTAAATTTCAATAAAGACAAATATGCTTTGGAGAAATGCAGCATATCCATTGAATGAATCTAATTTTGTGACTTGTAACTGCATGACAGTGTTTGCCTGATGTTTGCCTTTGACAGCATGAAACCCATTATATCTCTGCCTGTCACAGACAGAATCTACTTTTTGTGATTTTG